TACATGCTGAAACAGCTCTAAAAGGCTTCATTGTCACGAGTGGCCAAGTATAAACAGCTCTCTGAAGTTAGGTACCTGGGGAAGACTGGGGAACAACTTTGCCCTGAGAAAGGATTTGCTTTGAAGCAGGGTTAAAAGTTTTATATATATAATAATCAGAAATATACAACATTCAGTGTATTCTTTACAGGGGGAGGAATAGAAAACGCACTCAGTCTGAGCCCCAAGCAGTCGGGAAGGGGTCCTACCCAAAAAGTATAATCCAACAGGAAAAGTCTGGTCTCTCATCCGGCTGCATTTGAACGAGAGCACTGTTTTCTGTATTTTGCAAGTGGTTTTAAACTGAATACACTGGAAATAGGTAGGTAGTTCTTCTAAACATAGCTTTTCATACCTTTTTACCATATGTTCTCTGCCTTGGCCCCTTGTCTACAAGTTGAACAGTTTTCCCTATGCTGTGCACCTCCTGCGATCAGGAGGTGGATTAAGGTGTCACCCTTACGGGACTCAATGCCTTGGGGGAAGCATTGCTGTCTCCCTGCTCTAAATCCACTGCAATGGCACAGGCTCCTGCACGGGTCTGACAGCTCCACTAACCTTACGGTGTCTGCTCCCCTGGAGAAGCTCTCTGCTGCTGTAGTTTTAAAAAGGTTTAGTCAGTTACCTCTGATGTGACAGTTTTAAAAAATAAACAAACAAACAAAAAACAAACACTAAAAAAACCCCTGCTTGTGGCTGCAGAGACCAGTTCTTGCCCTGGTGAAACACATAAGAATTTCAAACACATTTTCAAACCCATTTTAATGAGAACAAGGCAAAAACACGGTTTGAACGCAGGCTGTCTGTTGCGAGGCAGGCGGGGGGGGCTAGAATTGCTTTTGGGATGGCAAAGGTTTGGGGGGGCTGCGGGGACAGAGCACAGAAGCTGCTGCTTTTGCATGTCAGCATTTCAAATACAGGTAGAGGAGACCAAATGAAAAACGAAATTAACTGTTTTCCTTTAGGAAGACAAATTAATAATTATAATTTGCTATTTTTAAGCACGGTGAGGTTCTGCAGAGCTGAGGAGTAGCCCTGGTAGGCAACTTCAACCCCATCCAGTCCCAGCCTTGCAGCACTGTCCCTGTTAACCCTTCCCTCAGAGGAACAGCTGCTGGTTTGTAAACCGCAGGGCTGATTTGGGCTGCCTTCCCACCCAGTGCTGAGACATGCCTTTTGGGGGGGAGATCAGCTCCCGCTTTGCAAGGAACCCCAGGACAGACTCTCAGACATGTAAAACCATGTTGAATAGACAGCACACACACACCCCCTTTTATTTTTTCTTTTTAATCTGCAAAAATACTCTCTGTCGCTCGCAGCTCTGTGTCCCCTCCCGTTGCCCCGGGTGCTGTTACCTGCGCTCACCGCCCGCCCCGCGGCTCTCCGACTGCTCCGGCACCCAGCAGTAGTTGTCTGCCGCACTTTTGGCCGGCCGCTTCTCCCGCTTGGCCGCCCTCTTCCTGCAGGCCAGCAGGGCCAGGGCAAAGGCCAGCAGCAGCAGGATGGCTACCAGGCTGCCCAGGATGTAGTAGAGGAGCAGCCTGGGGCCATCAGCGCTGTGCTCAGGGCCAGGCACTGACCCTACTGCCGTGGGGGCTGGCGGCGTTGCCCCGATAGGGATGCCCAGGGTTCGGGGGATGCCCGTGGTCCATGGGGCACCTGTGGTCTGGAGGATGCCCGTGGTCTGCAAGGCACCCGTGGTCCATGGGATGCCGTGGTGCTGTGAGGTCTGTGGAGTGCTGTTGGGGACCACTGCGGGCTCCTCTCCGGCAGTGGGTGCAGCACGGCAGCCATGTCCATCCTCCTCTGGGAGGAAGCCGGGTGGGCAGAGGCACTCGAAGCCACCTGGCAGGTTGCGGCAGGGCCCAGGGCAGGGGTCCCGCAGGCACTCATCCACATCCAGGCAGGCATCGCTGCCGGGCTGGCGCTGGTAGCCGGGTCGGCAGGCACAGTGGAAGGAGCCGGGGACGTTGAGGCAGAGCTGGGGGCAGATGCCGGGCTGGGCGCACTCACC